GAGATGGAGGCTTGATGGAAGTCCACGGACCTGTCGTGCTCCAGGGATTCTCTATGATAACATTTTCTCAAATGCTGTTGAGGTAGGGTTCTATCACTCTCATAGGAAGCACAACGACCACAAGTCGGATAATTCTACAGCAACACAAACGGTTCGACGAGTTGCTGAGTATATTGATGCTAGTGACTATGAAGCAGATCATTTGCGCTCCTATGTTTGCTTCAACACGAAAAAGGGAGACATGCCTACAAAAGAAGTGGGTGAGTTTATCAGCAAAGTTACCAACAAGGGTTTTGGAATGCTCAAAATCCTTGATCTAGAAAACATATACAAACCTGTGCTGCCTGAGGATATAGGAAAGCTTTTGCTGCTAAAGTATTTGGGATTGAGATGGACATTCCTGGATTCCATTCCAAACTCTGTAGGAAACCTTCCTAGCCTGGAAACTTTGGATCTCAAGCACACAAACATCATCTCGTTGCCCATCTCCATCTGGGATTCAGAGAAGTTGCGCCATCTTTACCTGAACGAGATTCATCTTGATAAATCTGTTCAGTCAAAGCAACTGCTAGCTCAAGGATCACTAACCAACCTTCTGACACTCTGGGGGTTGATGATTGGCAAAACGGTCCCCTCAATGGAGTGGCTGAACAGGTTGAAGAGTCTTACGAGACTCGGTTTAACATGTCATTCTAGATCACTTTCTGCAATAAGTGGGTGGATCTCTCAATGCACTAGTCTCCAGTCCTTGAAGTTGAGATCGATCGACCGCTTCAGTAGGCCTTCTGATCTCACACTGCCGGACATTTCCCGTCATCACAAGCTTTCTGACCTGTACTTGCTTGGAAAGTTGTCGGAAGAGACAAACTTGGGGACACTTCCCCAGAGCCTGAAGATCCTAACGTTGTCAATATCAAAGCTGAAGAATGACCCAATGGAGACTCTGGGACAGCTGCCGCAGCTCAACATCCTGAGGCTATTTGGTCAGTCCTATTTGGGGAAAGAGATGACCTGTCATCCGAAAGGGTTTCCCAGGCTGCGAGTCCTGAAGCTGTGGGTGTTGGAGGAGCTGGATAAATTGACAGTGTGCGAGGGATCCATGCCTGCACTGAGAGAGATGGAGATCAGGCGGTGCATGAAGCTGAGAGAAACCCAAGGGTTGCAAAACTTGACCACGTTGAAGGAGCTTATTCTGACCAATATGCCACCAAGTTTTATCTCAGAGACTAGAAGGAGCATGAGGGAGAGGCAAATGAAAGGGGAAAGTAAAGTGATTGTGACTGTGAATGACTGGGATTTCATGCCCTTGCCACAGGTACTTGAACGTTTTCTCTCTTATTTATTCCAATACATATTATGGTCATATCTAAGTCCTTAATCCTTTGTATGAATCGTGGTTGTAGGAATCTTGAAGATAGCAAGAAATCCTGCAGGGCAAAGAGGATGTATGTCATCAGACATCAATCTAATCAATTTCTGCTTCAATTGTGTATGCAAATCAGATTTCCTAATAAGTGAGCTCCTCGCTCTTGGTCTGTATTCCAAATAAATGGGAAGTAGCTAACAATTGTGTATGCAAATCAGATTTCCAATGGGCAATTTATATATGTTCAATTTATACATCGTTCTTTCACTTCACTTGGACCTAGAATGTACATATTGATGCTTTATAAAGTGCTAAATGCATACATTTTTATATTTAACAAACATTTTACTATTATAAAGTATAGATTCTTAGTATACATATAATTTAAATACCCATTCATTGGTGGAACGCTTGTTACACATAGGCAGACGATTGTTCCAACAATGTTTCATCTTCCATCCTTAGTATACATATAATTTAAATACTCATTTATTGGTGAAACATAGATAATGAATTCAATTAAATATACGTAACTATGGTACAAAGTAATTGGTTGTGGAATTTCGGTTCACATTACGAATGATGTTTGGCTTCCCACCACCCCTCCTTCTAGGCCCATTCTGCTTCCTGGGGTTGTCTTACCTGACTCATTTGTTTCATGCCTAATAAATCATGGTCAAGGTTCTTGGAAGGAGAACGTTCTTTCATATCTCTTTGATACTGCCACTGTCCAGATCATCATGGCTATTCCTCTGCCGATTTTTCCTGTGGCTGACCGCTTGGTTTGGCATTATGAAGTTTCAGGTGAATTTTCTGTGAAATCTGGTTATCGTTTAGCTGCGGCTGAGTACATTGCTGATTTTTCCACGGTTCCACCGTCCTTTGACTTCCGCTCTTGGAAGTTTCTTTGGTCACTTCCTGTTCCCCCAAAGTTAAAATTTTTTCTTTGGCGCGTGGTTAAAGGTTTTCTCCCTATTCGAGATGTTCTACGTGATAAGGAATTGATAGTTGATGATGATATTGAGGCTTACGCTTGCCCTGTTTGTGGTGGTGAGGCAGAGACTCTTGCTCATTGTTTTTTGGATTGTCGGATTGCTTTGGATTTGTGGGATTTGTTGGGGGTACAATCATATTCTTGCTCAAATTCGCTTGTGCCATATTGTGATAGGTTGGCGTAGGCTATTTTTTTTTTATGCAGGTTTATCCAAAGTAGAGATTTCACGGTTGGTTTTTCTGTACTGGAGGCTCTGGAAGTCCAGATGTTCGGCTACTTATGATGGTATTCAGTATTTCTCTCACGTTTTATCACGACATTATTACTCTCAGGTTGCTGAATTGGAGCTAGCACAGGCTCATCCGGAGAGATCTTTGCCTCGCTGTTCTCTTGTTTCTAGTGGGGTTTTACCTCGTGATCACTCCCCTCCTTCCATACCTCCCGGTTCAGTGTTGGTTCACTTTGATGGTGCCACCAAATCTTTGGTCGGATGTGCCATTGGTTTTGTTGGCTTTGCAGAGGCTAATAACTCTATATTTGCTTGGGGGCGTTTTATTCCTAATATTGATGACCCATTTATTGCAGAGCTCCTGGCCCTTCGCGACTCCTTACATTGGTGCATGGCTCACTCGATCACTAATGTTTTGTTTTGTGGGATGCGCAGGTGATCGTTCGGATGATTAATGCGAAGGACTCGGCGCACGCGGTGGGCGGAGCTCTCCTGCAAGAGATTCAGGTGTTGCGGGCTTCTTGCCTTCGTGCAATGTTCCATTTCGCTCCCCGTAGGTATTATAGGGCTGCCCATATCGTGGCAAGATAAGCCCTTGGAGCGATGGTGCAGACATGTGTCAACCATCGTGTTTTATTTATTTAATTTTCCTAGCGTGGTCTTAGGAGGCCTTGTATTTTGTCGTATCTTTGTTGCTCCCCTCTCGGGATAACTTTGGAAAAAAAGTAATTAGCATTAAATTTATTCGAGTTAAACAATATTTAACCGTTTCCCAATTTTTTCCTACCCTATTGTACTTCGTCCTTTGATTGGGGCAAAAAACCATATTTGGGCCTAAATTTTCCACCCTTATTATGGTGCATTCTAAATGCTCAAGTATAATCTTGGAAAACATGGCCCTTCAGCCTTCAGGCCTCAAGAAATGTAATGGAAATTTAACTAAATTTCTCCCATTTCATAACTCTAATATATATATATATATATATATATATATATATATATTAGAGTTTTGTACAAAACTTTAAAGGCCTAAACTTTAATGAGTAGAACTCTAAGACTCTTCTCTCAATTCTAAACTCTAAGGTTCATTAAAAACAGAGAACGATGATTCTGATTTGTCAAAATACGAGCAATGTATCATATGCAACAATTTAGGGTATAAGGTCTAGAGATCAATTATAGGAGCTTATGGTTGACGCATTACAGTTTATCATACCCAAAATTCTTGTTAATTCATGGTCTAGATAGTATCATTAGAGGTGACAATTCTCAATCCAATCCACCAATCCATTAAAAATATTCACCTAATCCAATCCATTTAAATACAATCCATTTGATCCAAATCCAATTGGATTGGTGGATTTATGGATCAATCCATGGATCCAAATGACAAATTACATTTTGGTACCTAAAATTTAATTTTTTATACGAAAAATATCATAGGAAAATTACGTTTTGGCTCCTAAATTTTTTCATTACGACATTTTAGTATCTCAACTTTTCACATTTTACATAATGGTCCTTGGTTGAGGATGTTATTTGGATTCGTGGATAATCCACCAATCCACTTGATCCAATCCATGAATCCACCAATCTATTTGATCCATGGATCCACCAATCCATGTATCCAATCTATTTGCCACCTCTAAGTATCATCTTATTAATAACATACAATACTACTCATAATTTGATTGTTGGATGTACTTGAATATATATATCGACGACGAATAAAAACATCGATTATCAATTAGGACTGATTATTTCAAACCTTGAGCCAATATATATAATATGAATTACAAACCCAGGTCAATCCACGCATGCAGAACCATATATAAAGTTATGAATTACTAAACAATAAAAAGGAAACAAAAGCTCAAACTGAAGAGAAGAAGGACGAGACATATATAGCAAAGTGGACTCCATTTTTATTCCTTGTTGTTGTGATAATATTAAGAGGAGTCATAAAGAAGTTAAAAAGTTTAACTATCTCTTTCCTAACAATTCGAGTTATTGGGACCAAGTGGTTAGTTCGCTGACATGGTATCAGAGTCTAGAACCGGAAGGTCATGGTTTCGAATCCTCATGACGATCCCCATTTTCAACCATTTGTTTAGCACAAGAGATGATATGTCCAACCTGTGCAAACTAAAGTCTCGTGGTTTGGCATAAGCCTGATGAACTGAGCTGCGTTGAAGCGACGCCGTATGCAGAACCTAGGGCCGCAGATTCATCGTGAGCCGCCTTTCATTGCGATGATCGTCAGTCCGCCGACATCACCTTTTTCCGTCATCGTTGGTTGAAATAAATTAAGTGTGATTGATTGATTGATTGATTAATTGATGAGAAAGAACTACAAATGCAAGGACGTGTGTGCATGTGTTTGTGTGTATATATATTGATTGACCAAAACTGTAATTATTAACACTTTAATTTCCACTTTTGTCGTCTAATCACATACATATAATTTTTTGGCGGAGAAGCAATGAATATATTACTTGTGATTAGAGGAAACCCAGCAGCCCGCAAGCATAACTAATTTAATTCCTTGCGAAGAACGTAACTTGGGCAAAGAAAATGGGAACTACTATATGTACGTACATGAGTCATGACCCACACATCTTTTCCTTGCTAAGAAAAGTATATACCTAACTTATAAGAAGAGTACATGATTGAACACGTAAAGTCATTTAAAATCGAATATGATGAAAGACAAGAAGTGAAAGATTCATTGATAACACGTAGTATACGTAGGAAAATACGGTATTGATAAATGAAAGACATAAAGTTAACGAATGACACATTACAAATTCAACTATTGTTGACTTTTTGTCGACGTGAAAAAAATGTGACTGCTACGTCATTAACAAGTATAATTATTTATATTTTGAAATTAAAATAATAAAAAAACAATAAAGGACAGAAAACGTGAGTGCTACGTCATTGACATATATAATTATTTATAATTTATCTCTTAAACAATAGTTGTGGTTGAAACGAGATAAAAAAGAATTGAACTATACCCAAGATTAAAAGTTCAGATATATAATTATTCGCAATTCACTCTTTAAGTGGTGGTGATGAGAACTTATTATTTCAAACCTTGAGCCAATATAATATGAATTACAAACCCAAGGCCAATCCACGCAGAACGATAAAGTTCATAAACCTTATGGTAACTAAACAATTAAAAAGGGAAACAAACGCTCAAACTGAAACAGAGAAATTAAAGTGCTTCCTTCTGTTAGAGATAGATTAAGAATAATGTTATATTTCTTTTACAAGTCTTCTTGTATTATATATAAACAGTTTTGTGGTTTCATAATACAAGGTACAAATTATTATTCCTAAAACTCTTGTACCTTTCACTATACGTCGACTCCATTTATTCCCGCGAAATGGGAGAAGAAGGACGAGACATAGCAATTGAACGAGAACGAGGCGGCGGCAGCGGCGGCATAAACTTACGAATAGGAATGACAACTTTGTCCATACCCATGGGTTTCTTACTATCCAACCCAATTGGGTTGGGTATGAAATCCAAATAGATGGATATGGGTAGAGTTTGATGGGTTTGTACCCATACCCATTTACTTTGGGTTGAATTGGGTTTATATCAAACGGATTTGGATTTGTACCCATGCCCAAATACAAATTACAGTTTGGTACCCAAACTGAATAGATATGCATATTTAGTACCTAAATTAATTTTTTTTGCATATAAGTCCTCAAAATATCGATGGAAAATTACGTTTTGGTACCTAAATTTTTTCGGTCTTACATTTTGGTACCTAAACTTTTCAAGTTTTACAAATAGGTCCACTTTTTGCATGTGTAGTTAAAACACCCTAAAGTAAATGGATATCCATATCCAACCCATAGCCATTTAGATTATGGAAGGAATATCCATACCTTACCCAAACCCATCTATAAACCCCCCAAACCCATATGCACTTCACCCATACCCAACCCATTATCAATGGGTCTACTTGGGTTTGGGTATAATTACTCATGGGTGGTAATACCTACGAAGGGGGAATTCTACGGTGCAGTGGTTGCATTAGTGCCGCCATATAATTATAACCGGTCAAGATGGTAGGGTTTTTAATTTATTGGGTGGCTCTGGTTTAATTATTCAATTAATAAAAAATAAAGAAATAAAAAATTAGAAACAAAATAAAAAATAAAAAAATTAATAATAACTAATGAACCAACGTTTACATTTTGTTTTAATATTAAAATATATAATAATTTATTTAAATATACAATCGGTTCAACCTGCTGGTTCAACCTACATGATTTAAGTGATGGTCATAATCAACCGTCCTCATACAAATATTGGAAATCCAACGGCAAAAGGTCTGGCGGCATTAGTGCCATCACTGCACTACTGAGTCCGCCAGAAGTTTTTTTATAAGCAGCAGGCAACAGGGCACAATCCACGTGGTAATTGGGCCGTTCATTGCACTCATAACATTTGTATCCGACCGAGTACCCGATTGCGCCGCAGTCGGCGCAGTAGTACTTGTAATCATAACCAAACGGCATGATCACCAGATTCAGACGGTGATCCTTGTGCGCTTCTTCATTCCTTAGCACAGTTGGCAAGAACTTGTGGTGAAGGTTCGTCTGCATCAGGCAATCGTGGCAGTCGTCCACGGCGGAGAACTCCTCCTCCTCCACGTCATCGTCGTCGTTGCGGCAGTTTCTGCATTTAACCTTGGAAGAAAATTCGTACCCTTTTGGTCGGTGGTGTGATTTCAGAGACGGCGGGCATCTGTCCAGAAGGGCCAGAACGCTGACGGTTTTGTACGGTTTCTTGGCGCAGTGTTTGTGCAATGCAAAGTCACAGTCGGTGCACTGGTAGTAAGACTTCACCGTCCCGATCTGACCGTCGTCGTTTCTGTCCTGGCATGCGATGCACGCCAAGCCTTCGGCGGTGTTGCTGTACATCGGTTTCTTCTTCACCCATTCGTGCAAGTGGTCGTTCTTCCTTCTCTGTTTTCCTTTTTCTTTTCCTTTCGCCACCACCTTACTATTGTTGGACGGCGTCATGGCAGTACTGTTATGCTTCTGTTGACGTAAAAGTAAGCGAATCTTGGACACGACACCTTCGGCTTCCCTACTGTCGAATGTCTCGGCGTCCACGTGGACCGATGAGATGCCATCGTCACCTTTGGCAGCAACGGCGTCGTCTCGATGGTGACATTCGACGGCGACGAGGCGAGCGCCGGAAGAAGCCGCGAGTAGTGGTCCCCACAAGTTGCCGATGGTGGCGCCAGGGGGGAGCGGGTGGGGCCCGTTGATGATGACGGGGAACTTCAAACTGAGCTGCGTCGAAGCAAAGCCGTATGCAGCATCTAGGGCCGGAGATTCTTCGGTGTTGTTGTTGTTGGTTTGAGAGGAGGAGGGTTTTTGAATGGCTTGGTGGATGTCGTGAATGTCGATGAGAGTGCATTTGAGGAATCGTGCTAAGTTGAATGCTACCTGTCTGTTCCTAGATAATGAGTCGCCTTTCATTACTATGATTGTCAGTCCAAGATCATCTTTTTCCGTCATCGTTGGCTGAAACAAAGTGTGATTGCTTGGTTGATTGACGAGAAAGAACTACGATGCAAGGATGTGTACTTGTGTTTGTGTGTGTATATATATTGTTAGCAAAGGACAATTGCTTAAGCACATATGCAATTTGATTCTCTTATAATGTTTTTTTTTCCAGGAGAAGCAATGAATATATCACTTACTTGTGATTAGAGAAAACCCTATAAGCAAGCGAGACAATATAACTAACTCATCTTTTCTTTTCAAGAAAAGTATATAAGGTACTTGATTCTTGATTGAGCATGTAATGTCATTCAAAATCGAGTATAATAAAAGACATAAAGTGAAAGATTCATCGATAACATGTAGAAAAATACAATGTTAATAAATAAATGAAAGATAAGTAGTTTAACTAATCAAAATTAGGGCTAATACCACTACCACACTCTAACCATAAAAAAAATGTTAATAGTCACCTATTTTATTTGATATTTCATTATGTCCCAGCGAATGATACTTTTATGTCATTTGTGTTCTAATGTTTTGGTTGACCGTTAGAGAGATAACAGTTGATCGGACAGAGCGATTAGAGGAAGTACTCGATGACTTAATCTGTCTTTCATGCTGCACACCTAAAGAGAAGACCTAATTGATCAGTGGTAAAGGCTCCATTAACAAAATTGATGACCTAACCGACTCAAAATAATCATAACCCTAATGACTCGGTATGCCTTCATATATTCAACACAGGAGCAACGGGGTGCACAAAGACAGAGGCGTAACGGTCGATATGTGATCAGCTCATTCCAGAGAACGCGAAACTTGGTAAAGAACTCGCTTACAGACTGATTGCCCTGCTTGATACTGTAGAAACGTTCCTTGAGATCGCGCCACAGTACGGCGGAGGATTCGTCATGGATGCGCCGGAGATCGAAGCAAAGGCGAAAGAATCAGAAAACCCTAGAAGGGTGAAAACAACGGATCACGATTTTTAGTCAGACAATCTCTAATTTCCTGTTGAGAGAAAAACAGTCCGATTTTTATTTCATAAAACGGTAAAGTTTACATTGTTTCCTTATTGCATATATATCTGTTCAGGAGCACTTCTACTATGCTATATAGCATTGGTGCTTTAATGTACAACTTGAAGTTGTACCATAACATTAAATGTATAAGTTTAGGTTGTACCATAAAGGAATTTGTATTATTATGTTATGGTACAACTTTACAACTTAAAGCTGTACCATCACATAAGGTACAAGTTTAAGTTGTATCATAAAAGAATTTGTACAAAAAGTATAGGTACAATCTGAAATTGTACCGTAACGTTAAAGGTACAATTTCAAGTTGTACCATAAAGGCAAAAACCTATAGCACTAATACTATATAGCATTGTAAAATTCCTCATCTGTTCAGATAAACTAAATAAAAGTCTATTACAAAATAGTACATATATAAGAAACAAATAGTACATTTTAATATTTAATCCCTATACTCTAATGTGAAGTACTGAGGCATAAAACCAAGAGGAGGAGAAGGTGAACGAGGAGGAGGAGGAGGTGACAGCAGGGCACATGCCACGTGGAAATTGGGCAGTTCGTTACACTCGTAACATTTGTATCCGACGGAGTAACCAAGTGCGTCGCAGCGGCCGCACGGGTACTTGTAATCGTACCCAAACGGCATGATGACCAGACTCAGCCGGTGACCGTGCACGTGATCATTCATTAGCACAGTCGGCAAGAAATTGCACTGGAGGTTCGTCGTCGTCAGGCAATCGTGGCAGTCGGCGGAGAACTCCTCCTCCACGTCGTCGCGGCGACAGTTTTTGCATAAATACTTGGAAGGAAAGTTGTATTGCGGTCGGAATGCTTTCAGATACGGCGGACAGTACGTGTTCGCAATCACGTCGACGGGCTTGTTCGGTGCCTCGGCACAAAGTTTGTGCAATGTGAAGTCACAGTCGGTGCACTTGTAGTAAGGCCACGGAAACTTTGTGAAGTGGACGACGTCGGGGCTGCAAGCTATGCAACCAGAATCATCGTTCGGTGGCTTCTCCACCCATTGGTGCAAGTGGTCGTTCTTCCTCCTCCTGGTCTGCTTTCCTTCTTCTTTTTTTTCTTTCGCCGCCGGAGCCACCTTGTTGGTCGTTTTAGTAGTACTAGGGTTGTACAACTTCTCATCATGTTGACGTGAAAGTAAGTGAATCTTGGACACGATATCTTCGGCTTTCTTCCTGTCGAATGACTCGGCGTCCACGTGGAACAACGAGATGCCATCGTCGTCACCTCGGCCCGCGTAGTCGTCGTCTCGGTGGTGTTGGCGCCCGACCTCCTCTCCCGGCGGGTGGCATTCGATGATGACGAGGCGAGCGCCGGAAGAAACTGCGAGTGGTCGCCACGTGGCGCTCGGGGGGCCGTTGATGATGACGGGGATCTTCAGATTGAGCTGCGTCGAAGCGAAGCCGTATGCAACAACTAGGGTGGCCGAAGATTCTTCGGTGGTTTGAGAGGAGAACGACGAGGAGAATGATTTTTGAAGGGTTTGGTGGATGTCGTGAGTGTCGACGAGAGGGTATTTGAGGAATCGAGCTAAGTTGAAAGCCACCACTTTGTTCCAGTCTTGTGAGCGGCCTTTCATCGCCAAGATCGTCAGTCCGACATCACCTATTTCCGTCATCGTTGTTGGCTGGCTGAACAAAGTGTGATTGATTGGTTGATTGGTGTACGGACGTGTGTGCGTTTGTGGGTGTGTATATATATTGTTAGCAAACGAGCAATTGATTAAACATATACATTTGATTTTGTTATAATTTCTAGGAGGAGAATTAAGCAATGAATATATTAAACCCCACAAAGCAAGCAAGCATGTATATAACTAACTTAATTCCTCCCGAAGAACATAACTTGGAAAAAGAATGAGATCAATGACTATACATGACCCACACATTTTTCTTCCAAAGAAAAGTATATAACTATCTTATTAGAAGAGTACTTGATTGAACATGTAAAGTCATTCAAAATCAAGTATAGTGACGAACAAATCTTGTTCTCTAATACATATATATGTCTCATGAATCGTGATTGAGATACATGCATGGAAGCTTGTGTGTTTGTGTGTGTATATATATTGTTGTTGGCAAATGATAATTAAATAACTAATCCAACAAATTTGATTTTATCTTCGTTTTTTTTGGAGGAGAAGCAATTCATGTCGTAATGGAAGCGTACAAACGATTATGCAAAGAACAAAAGCAGACATAAATTTAACGTGATACACTAACATAATATGTGCTAGCTAATTTACGGGCAGGGAAGAACAAATTTCATTGATTTGTGGAGTGCACAGATAACAAAACGAATTATATGAGCACTTCTACTATGTTATATAGTATTGGTGCTTTAATGTACAACTTGAAGTTGTACCATAACGTTAAATGTATAAGTTCAGGTTGCATTATAAAGGAATTTGTACAATTATGTTATGGTACAACTTCACAACTTGAAGTTGTACCATCACATAAATGTACAAGTTCAAGGTGTACCATAAAAGAATTTGTACAAAAAGTATAGGTACAGTATGAAGTTGTACCACAACGTTAAAGGTACAATTTCAAGTTGTACCATAAATGCAAAAACCTATCGCACCAATACTATATAGCATTGTAAAATTCCTCCGAATTATATATGTATCAACAAACCAAACAAACTAACCTGATAGACCTAGCTATATATTAGGATGATAAAGAGTATTTATAGAGCCTTCTCCTAATATCAAATAAAAAACAAACTTTTTCTAAACCGAAAAAGAAAAAACAAAAACAAAACCCAAACCGACTACGCCCAAAATACAAACACACATAGAAAAAGCGGGAAAAAAATCAAGTGATATCCTAACATATATATTACTTGTGATTAACAAGCAAGCTTCTACATTTAACTAATCTAAATCCTCAATAAGAACGTAAATTTGGACAATAAAGAGAATGATCCTACGAGCATGACCCGTACAACTTCTCCTCATAAAGAAATTAATGGGCGGTGGCTAAATATCTACACAATAATGAGAAAATTTGAAGCCCCATTTCAAATTTCCTGCATCCAGAGTGAAAGTAGGAAGGGTAGATTCGTCTTCACAGTTATTTATTAACTTCGTATTTACAGAAAAAATACATCAGTAATGAGATTTGAACCGTGGTCTCTTCGAACAAAGATAAGAAACATAGCCAGTTATAATAAACACATTTGTGTGACCTTTTACAATTAAAAATATACAGGAAGTTTAAATCTAAAAAATCATAGGACTTTTCCACCATGCTTAGCAACCGAAATGTCATTGATTCAAATATTGCATACCGAATTGCACTCTCGAATGTCTAGAAGCGATGTAGAATTCTTAACATAAACTTAATTGTTATAACTTCCATAAAGTAACAATATTTTTAAACACGGAACTTTTGAGTGAATATGGGGCACATATGTCTTTAAGAGAGGGGTACATATGGAAAGGTTAAGTGATGTTGGTTTGCCGAACGTGGATGGAAAAGACACTACTAATGTAAACGAGCCCAATTAGTGCCCCGACCCACTAAACGCTCAACCATCGTTGTCTCTCCAAACTTTCCATCAGACTCAACAGCCGCCTAACCTCCTCTGCCTCTATTGTTACGCTAGAGCAATTTAGATGGGTAAATATGGAAAGATTGAGTGTTGTTGGTTTGCCCAACGTGGATGGAAAAGGCGCTACTAATGTAAACGGACCCAAATAGTATCCGGCCCACTTAAAGCTCAACCACCCGGGTTACTTTCGCTAAACCTAACATAATTGTGAAATGGGAAAGGTGTTTCCCCCATTAGAAAATCCTTGCATCCATAGAAATATTAGGAAGGGTAAATTCGTCTTCACAGCCATTTATTATTTTCTTATTTACAAGAAAAATACATTGGTGATGGGATTTGAATCGTGATCTCTTTGAGAAAAGACAAGAAACATAATCAGTTACACTAAACAAATTTGTTTAAACTTTTGAAATTAAAAACATACAGAAAGTATAAATCTGAAAAATCATAGGAATTTTTTATC